ATTTTGCTCCTATGGTAATGTTACATAGCCATTTAAAGAAGTCCTGAGAGCGAAACATCTCTAGAAATTATAGAATACAGACTCCAAATTCCCAAAATTTCCGTTCATCCAAAGAATTCGTTTGTGGAATTGTATTATTGCATGACAACCAATTGCAGAGATTTGGGAAAACAGAAAAGTTCATTGAAAATAATTCGACGAAAAAATTCATGATAAAATTCAAAACACCCACAATTTCTTCAATTCTCGATTAGTAAAACAGTTTTGACGAAAATTTCCAAGAAAACATATTCAGAACTACGGAAAACAAGCTTAAAGAAAATTAATTAATTAACTAACTGAATCGATTGTTTCTACATAAAAAAATCGTTTATGTAAAACTGAAAAAATCCATCAATTCCTTTTATTCTCCACCGATAAAACAGATCTAGACAATTTCTAAGAGCAAAGACCATCTCCAAAAAATGACGCAATATATAATCCGAATAAAAATGAATAATCTAAATAATAGAAATCGTAAAGACAATTTGGTTTTGGATTTAATCCCACGAAAAAATCGTAGAACTCGCCAGAACCGTGAAATCGACGTATAACCACGTATTGTGGGAAGAGAAAAATGGTAAAGAATTAACCTCTGAACAAAACATCACCCACGTTCCACGTATTACCGTATGTTGGTGTGGTCTCGGTACATATTATGTGTGTTGGTGCCCCCTCTCCAGTTGTATTTTCTCATCTAAAATCTCCGTTCCACTTGGTTTGTCTCAGTATCGAAACGAATACAACACGAGGTGGTTGTCAAAACCGCTGTAATGTGTCACATCTCCTTGAATTACCACTCATTCCCCTTAAAAGTTCCAACCAATTAATCAAAAAGCCATAGTGTGCACCGAGTACTGTTGCATTGCAAACCTGTCAAACCCGTAATTAATTGATTCAAGAAAAACTCATTGGTGTGTGCCATGTTAGAGGGCCCCATAAATCGTGCCTGACGCGATTTTCTCCCCCAAATAATCGTAAATAAACCAGCGAAGTCATTTAACCTCTTCTATAACTGATAAGAGGCCGAATAATACATAAATGAGGTGAAATAGTAGCGGTTACACCGCATTTGACGACGTGATGGTGTTCTGGTGCCATTGGTGGTTGTGAAAAATATCAATATCATTTTGGTGAGTGATAAACCTCTGGAACACCTGATAAATTCAAAAATATAATCCGAGTTTTGGAAGATGTGAGTTGATTATCAAGTGCTAGCGATGATAATCGATTAGCTTTCATGAGAGATGTGAAGTGACAGTCGACCAAGTGACATCGATAACAACAATACTATCTTTTTTTTTAATCTCTTTTCCGGCTATTATAACTGGATTTTTATTGTTTGGTGGCGAGAGGACGTGGCGAACATCAAAATAACTCAAGACTATACAGCAGAAAATAACAGAACAAAACGAGCAGTTGAATTGTTCTATTTTGATGATTTATCTCTCCAATTTGACCTGTCAGATCAATTAGATCGTTGATTGGAGAAGAGGAATTCTAGTGGCGGGATTATCGTGGGTTATTATTATTTTTTTTTATTATATGTGAAGAATAAAAGTCGTTGACAATGACGGCAATGCTGGTGTCTGTTGCTGAACTCTCGAACATTTTCTCCGTTCTCGCAGTATTAATATGCTTCTGCGGGGTTGTACTTTTTATCATGAGGTGAGCTTTCTTTATCTCATTTGCTTTTAACAACTTAATGCATTTAAGTTGTTTGCCTTTATGTTTTTTTTTTCAAAAGAGGTTATCACAAGATTCTAGACGAGTTGTAGGTTGGAGTGCGCATTGTGTTGAAGATACTTTTGGTGCAAGGAATTTAGGAAGA